TTTGCAATTAAATGAATCAGAAGAAATCTCGTATTAAGGTGAGGTAGAGACAATACTACCAAGTAGTCAGTTCTCATAACTTCTCACTGAATAGATCTTTTAAAAGGATGCCTACAAAGACCAACAATGGCAGTTACACAAATCATAAGTGTTCAGGGTGTCAGTTTGATGCCTTGAGCGTATTTCTCATCACATAGTTCATATAGACCATGATCAATTTTTTTTTGATAAAATATAGACCATGATCATAGTTCAGTAAACTCCACAGGATTCCACCACAATGCTGGTTGGTGTAGGAGAACAATCTTTTCTAATACTCCCTCCGTTCGTTTTTATAAGGCGTTTCAGACAGCTGAGTTTGAACTGTTTAGTACACTGTCTGAATTTACTAAAACGTCTTATATAAGTGATCAGAGGGAGTACTACTGTGTATTTGTTGGGCATGTATACAGAAAAGGAAAAATCAGATTTACTAATCAGCAATTGAGCATATCTCTTCAGGAATTTATCTATTGAAAATATTGTGAAAGATAAAATACTCATATATGAGCCCTAGGTTATATTCATCCAAAATTATAAGCTAGTATATCATGTGATACGTGTCACTTATCCATGCACCCTTGTTTGCCTGTTTCAGCTTTTGACACAAATTCCTGAAGAGATGTGTAAATTTACAAAGAGAACAAGATAACTAGCCAACCTATTAATACAGTGCAAGAAACACTGTAACTATATGAGAAATAAATTCCTTAAGTAAAGCATTCCAAAAATAAATTACTCATGCAAAAAATTCATATAGAACACGCCATCATTCTGAGGACATCATATCATAGAGATAGTAGGCACTGCTAATTAATGAGCCAAAATAAGACGGATATATTTTTTAGCAAAATGGGTAAACAGGCTACAGCCGGTCAAGAACACTAATCTTACAGATAGAAAAAAGAAAGAGGCTCCAAGGTTCGGATGCCTTGCCCCAATACCGAGAAGAGACAGTAGCGAACCCAAGGAACAGATAAGTAATTCACCCACAATGTAAATGGGAAGTTTGGTACCAAAAGACAACCCAATTACGATAAACGATCAAAATACATATGATTGAGTTATCACTGAATACTGAATGTCAAGGAACAGATGAAGTAATTCGCCCACAATGTAAATGGTAAGTTTGATAACAGAAGACAACAACAATTACCATAAACGATCAAATTACAGGATTGACTTGTCACTGAATCCTGAATATCAAGGAACTTCGTCAGGACCTTGAGCGTGATGCAGGTCCAAAGAAGAGATCAATTCTGGATGGTAGCTGGGTGTTCTGATTTAGTAGGAGAACAAGGCAATGCTTTTCACAGATTATCCTTCCCTGGTTGTCATCATTCCTCATATGAAGGGATCAAAATTTTCACTCTCTGGTAACAGAGAAGTGCTCCACTACGAATGGTGGTATGGCTGGAAGAAACCATCATACGTCCTCGGAAACAACCACTCCAGCCTGCCACTTTCCAAGCACAGACAAGCGAACCAAGAAACGGACTGGGGCGTGAACATCGCTGTTGTTGTCAAGTACAGGATGCTACCCCGCATTGCCGCAATTTTCAGCCTATTCTCGGGTGATTGTGCAATCTTAGCATTAACTGGATCAGCCAGGTTGAATACCCTGATGTTAGCCCATGCCCCAGCATCAAGGCCATCTTCTTGACGCAGCATGAAACCGATGTTGAATCCATTTGAATAAGCAATGCACATGTTATCGCCGTTAATTTGGCCAAGGATCGAGCTGGGAAAACCTTCCAGATTCAGGAGAGGTGGGATCATCTCAACAAACAATCGCGGGTTGTTTGGGTCGGGATCCAAGACGACCACATACGCACGATCCACATACGCACGATCCTGGTGAGGCCAGTAGATGAAATTACCCACTCGCATGCCGCTCTCAAGCAAAAGTTCATCTTCCGGCTCGTGGTGCGGGACATCCAACCATGGGGAGAGGAACCAATCGCCCATTCCCAAGGATGAGGAGAAGACCGCAGCCCGCAACCTGAACTCTCCATGGGAAGCAAGACAGAAGATGCCAAAGCTCGCGGGGTTTTCGTCATCGCAGATCACGCCGGCGTGAAGGATTTTACCATCTCCTTGGCGGTCGTCGTCGTCGTCGAAGATGTGGGCGTGACTCAGATCAAAGATCCGTTCGCACCGCCGTGCCAAGGGGTTTAGCAGCGCGAGCAATAGCCCGCCCCCTTTGAGGAGAAGGTAGCCGCCACGGGCGTCTAAGACGAACCAGGAAGCTTCTGGGTGGTCGCGCGCCTGGAGGGTGGTGAGGAAGAAGTCGCCGCTCAAGATGGCGGCCACGAGCTCCGGATTGTTTCGGTGGGCGGGGGCGAAGGCGGGGATGCAGGGGAAGCCATTGTGAGGGACAAGTGGAATCGGTGAGTTGAAGAAGAGGCCGAGTAGGGGCGCCGGGCGGTGGTCGACGTTGGCGACCACCACCGGCACCGGCGGCTGGCCGTTGGCGGCCATAGATACGGCGGTTGGACGGGGGTTCCCTCGCGACCGCTGCCGAACCGACCAACTCAGTCTTATCCGGAGGGGGGGTTTGCCGCTCGCGGGCTCAATTATCTTGACCCGTTCGCTCGTTTTTTCATAAAGAAAAAAACAGGATCCAGTTGACCATCAAGTCTAGATATAACCATTTTTAAGACAAGTATTTTCGAACGGAGAAAGTAGATGCAGCAATCTTTGTTCGCTGGATAGATGAGAAAATCGAATAAAGGTTTACAACTCGTCATAAATACAACATGAATACAACAATACATCAGTATAACATACTCTCTTCGTTTCTAAATACTATTTGTCTTTCTAGATATTTCAATAAATTGCTATATACGAAGCAAAATGAGTGAATCTATATTCTAAAATATGGCTATATACATCCGTATTTGGTAGTTACTTTGAAATATCTAAAAAGACAAATATTTAGGAATGGAGGAAGTGCCATGTACAGAGTTGCATCAATGTGCCGCGATAAAGATGCACTACTGGAATCAGCTAATTTTCCATCTGCCAGCTCTTTGCCATTAGCTACCAAAAAGCAGACGGCAAAGATCAGGCTGACGGCAAAGAAGCTCTTTGCCGTCCGCCAGATCTTTGCCGTCCGCCAGCGGACGGCAAAGAATCTTTGCCGTCAGCTGGCAGACGGCAAAGAGAGAGGTGGCCCCCACCCCCCGCCCGTTTGGGAAAAACTTAACGGCCCACCTCTTTGCCGTCTGCCAGCAGAC